TGGTTTAAGTGTGTGTGAAAAATGGCCATAATTTTTTTTTCAGTGCTGTTGTAGCTTTGAACTATCACAAAACAAACGGTTGTAAGTTGAGGACTACCTGTAATAAAAATGCTTCTTGCTAATATCTGTTATGCATCAGGGCTAACTTTATAATTGTGCTCTTTGTCTCTTTTATCTGATTTCTTCTCTGATGACTATTTGGTGAAATTAGTGCGACCATGTTTTTACCTACTTTAGTGGCTGGCTTAAAATTCAGCCAATAATAGCAGCATAAATTATCCTATGGAAAAAAATGGCATTTCTCTTGATTCTCACTCAATCTCTGTAGAATTTCTGGAAACCTGGTTTGCATGCTTCTTTTGAATGTGTTGTCAGTTCCTAAAGTAATACTTCTTTCTACTTCACTGTCTGCTCTGAACTTTAATTCCTTTCTCCTTTTGGCAGGATCGCTGCAGAACAGAGCAGTAGGTTGGCAAAGTATAGAACGCTACGGTAAAAAGGGGGTATACTAGTGACCAGCCCTTCCTAGAAGTAAGGGTCTTTGGCTGTTGCTTTTTCTAAGCATGGTGGCTGCTTCATTTTACGCTTATCACTGTTTGGGGTTGAAGAGGGGGTGGGGGGAGCCTTAGCAGAAGCCACTGCCACTAGGCCTGTTATGCTTCTGACCATTGCAAAAGGAACATTTGCATGATTTAGCTATCTATTTTGAGTTTATTGTTTAACTCAATTATTGTTTAACTCCATTACAGTTCCACATTATTTTTAAAAAAATCAATTGCTAGAGAAATTTCTAGCAATGCTTAAGACTTCTAGATTTCTCTAGACTTCTCATTTTTATGTCTTCCACAACTCTTGCTTGATCCATCTGCCCATATGCTGCTTTTGCTTTTGTTCCCAGTCCAATCAATACAAAAATATTTTTCCCAGAAGCAAAGAATCAATATTTGTGTAATTTAAAAAGTTGAGAATCTTTGGAACAAGACTCTTGGGAACGTCTTGGGATTTCAGAGTAACATGACTGAGCTAGTCAGGAATAAATTTATGCAAATTTTTGGACGTGCCTGCTTCAGTTTGTTTCATGAAGTTGCATAGCCTGACACAGTTTCTGAATCTATGTTATCTATAGCCCTGCATGTAATATTTTGAATTTTCTCTTTCTGCCTCTTTATTCTTATTGGGGGAAAAGGAGCCCGGTGAGCCCGGTGGATTTTTGTCTGTTTGTTGCAGTTGTTTTTATACTGCATATTTTGTTTGTTTGTTTGTTAATTTTTTATGCCTCAGAGTCAAGGCGGATTATAGCATTTGGGGAAGCAGAAATTCATCGTAAACAATATAACATTTTGTTTACAACATACAAAGCCTAAAAATCCACTGAAGCAACAAGCAGCCATTCGGCCTTCCTATTACCAATTAAAACCATGTTTAAATGAAACAGTTACCATGACTTTTTTCCAGGCCAGTTTCACATTAGTGGATAAAATGGTCCATAACAAGGCACTAACAAAAAAAAAGATACAGCATCAGTTTCTAGACTGTTCTACCTCTCAAAACATCATCTGCCTCAGAGACCTCATTAGAAACTGTGAAGGCTGGTCATAAATCTTCTCAATGATCACCATCATAACTTTGAATGGTTGCTGAACCATTGGTCATTAACCAAGGACTACCTGTATTTTGAATTCGATTTTGAAACCGATTAGCAACTAATGCAGTGACTAGAACACTGTTACATTACTAAAACAATTCTTACTTATTAGCACCTGGCTTCGATACTTAGGATCAAGCATTGTTATTGAGTTGTTGTCAGAAAACAACTTAAAAGTACAGCATGTTCTGGTAGCCTAATTGCATGCTGTGGAATGCATGAATTTCTGTTATGATATCTCCTATTCATTATTACAGGAACCCCTTTGAAAGCTAAGTATTCTAAATTAAAATACGTTGTGCTGCTTAAATAAATTAATAAACTAGATTGCCAAGTATTGTTTTTTGCAACAATATGGAATATTGGATGGAGAGTGATGCAGTCACCTAGAGGTGGAGCTCTTGCCTCACAATCAGGAGGCTGTAAATTCAATCCTAGGTAAAGGCAGATATTTCACTCTCTGGGCACGATGAGAATATAGCTGCTGAATATAACTCCACATTGGCGACAAGAAGGGCATCTGGCCAGTAAACACTTGGCTCCATTCAGTTGCCCAAACTCCACCCCGCAAGGGATTATGGGGTCATTAAAAGGAGATGATGATGATGGAATCAAAAGAGAGGAATCGTAGGTTGATAGGAGAATCTGAGTAAGAAGATATTACTTTGACCAACCATTGTCTTCATTTCTGGTTTCTGCATTAAGAAAGTATTATGTTTGTTTAAAATAGAGTTTTTAATATCATATTTCCAGATTTTGTAGTTATGTGGTCACACAAAAATATAAATTTTACATGTACCAACAAAAATACTTTGAGGTAATGTAGATTATGGATATAAAATTAAAGAACATAAATTGTTGTATTCTTGTCTGCAATAAGGATATAAGCATTTAATTGTGTAAATTCCAAGATTTATTCTGAATCTCTGCTTATTGAAAGACAGGTATTTGAGTTCCAGTTCTATAATTTTCTGAAACACACAGCTGTCAATTTCATAGATTACATGAAGAATTAGAAATATTGTAGCACAATATTAGATTGTAACAAGGGGGGTTTCAAACTTTGCAGTACTACAGCCACCTAAAATGATAAATGAATGGAAATGATTTAGAAATTAATTGAGAGCTGGTTTGGTGGATGAGTTTAAGGCAGTGGTGCCAAACTCGCGACAGCACATCGTCACATGTCATATCGCAACCTTTTCCCCCTTTGCTGAACCAGGGGGTGGGCGTGGCCAGCGTGTCATGCATCCGGCCCATGGGCCATGAGTTTGACACCCCTGGCATCTGACATCTGGATAGAAATCAGGAAACCATGAGTTCTAGTCCTATCTTAAACAGAAAGCCAGCTAGGTGTCAAGGAGCAAGAGAATAAACACTCAAAGATAGATCAGATTTCATGGGGGATTAAAGTTGGGGGGGGGGAAATTAATATGACCACATAAAAATACGTAACTCCCTTGATTGTTCATCTTTTTATTGAAGAAAAAATAATTATGCACTCTAATACATAAGACGTTTAAAACTATGCTAATATATAGTCCTTCAAACGCTTCAAAGATGATGGATCTATTGCTCCATACTACAATAGAAATCATCAGGTGTTGATATCCAAAGATGGCTAAATATTGGGTTTAATCTTCTCTTAAAACACTGAGTTTTTTTGTTCCCCACTTTACCCACACAAATGTTATAAAAACTCTCCAATCTTTGCTTCTCAGTTTGTCTGCACAAGCCTGGTCAGCTTTAAATAGATGGTACAATTTCCCTCTTAAGTGATTGTAATAGTTCAGGGGTGTCAAACTTGGGGCGTCATGTGACATATCAGGACTTTTTTTTCCTTCAGTAAACTGGGCATGGGCATGACCAGCACGTGATGCATCTGCCCTGTAGGCCACGAGTTTGACAGCCCTATAATTGTTAAAATCAGGATATATTTTAAAGCAACACTCCTAATTTGGCAAAGAAAACATAAATCTATTAGGTGAGAAACAGTGTGGTGAGAGAAATATTGGTTTTGTGGTATTTGTTTTAACCAGTATCTATTAGTGGGACTTAATTAAAGCTCTTATCCCACTGCGGATTATGGATAATTTTTAAAAGTGTTATTTCATCATTATATGCCAAAGAAAAGGAATGGTGTTTCCACTATCTCTTTATTAAAAGCAAGCAGTTATTTGGAGATACAAGCTCAATGCAGTTTTACAGATGAAAATAAGTGTCTAAGTATATTGCTTTATATATCATTTGTGTAATGGAATTGAGTTTATGAATGTTATAATTTAACAGGTTAGATCCTGGTGTCATAGCCATCTCCTCATCATTTCCTTCTGATTCTAGTTATTTTTATACATTTAAAGAATTACAAAAAGAATGTTCTATTTATTTTAGAATGGGGAGATATTTCTAAGATTTGTGTCTCTTTTTAATTTTTTTAAATTTAATTTTAATGTAATCATTTGAACTTGATAGACTATGTGTGAGTTGTAATCTCGCCTTAGGCACAAAAGCCAGATGAGTGATTTTGGTTCAGTCACTCTGTGAGCCCAATCCACCTTACAGGGTTACTGTGGGGAAAGTGGGAGGAGAAAGGCATATTAAGTATGTTCATTGCCTTATTTGTAAAAATGATAAAGGCAGGATATAAATAAAATAGATCAATAGATGAATACATTATTAAATTTAAGTTGTAGCATTATGTACACAAGAGATACTCCAAATATAATATGACTTATAAAGTCAAGTTTGCATGATAAATAACTGTATTTTGCATTAAATTCTACTTTATTATGTATTCTTTGCATTCTTCAGGTTTTAAATTGGGCATTTAAAACATAAAATTTCACTCTCCTATTCCAAAAAGAGGTAACTGCTTCATAAATGAAGAACTCTTCAACATCAAGATTTGTAACTTTAAGAGGATTTCTTTGTGTCCTTCCAGAACACGCTAATGTCAGAAGAACAGAGGAACAGGAAAAAAAAACCTTAAGTAAAAAAAGGAAAGGAGCCAAAGAACAGTTTGAAGACCAGAAACTGAAGTGTGGAAAATAATTGCCTGTAATATTAAAAAGTGTTTTTTAAAGAAGAAAAATCCCCCACATGTTGTGTTTGCTTGAATGTGTAAGTACTTTGATTTGTGGTACAACCGCCTTGTCAATCAGTAAGAACTTTAGAAACAGATGGGCTCCCAACTTGTCATTTTTTAAAATCTTTTTCTACCACCTCCTCAATGAAATAAAGAGAATAAGACAAAAGGTCTAGCCAATTGCAATTTCTTTTATTATATTGTGATTCTCTAAAGCAAACATTGTCAAGCTTATGCTTCAAGTAGTTATAGAAGAGCATTTCCATATTTTGTGTGAAAATGCAAGAAAATTTTGGATGATAAAAAGCAGTTAAAATACACTTTGAAGAATCAGAAAACCTCTGACAAATTCTTTACACACTATCAAGACTGCATAGCAATCAAAAACTCTCCATGGTGCTGAAACCAGAAGTCAATGAATGCTTTCCATTCAGCACTTCTCAGTTTAAACTCACAGTACAATCCCCATGTTTTCATTATGTCAGACAACTCAATGGCATTGTTCATTATGGAGTCTTAGTAGAATAAAATAATTTGGATATAGCATTTTGCTACAGCGGCCGTTTATTTTTCAAACTGAAATGAGGCTACTATACAATAAGCATTCTTATCTGGCATGAATTAATACAGGAAACAATTCCACATATAAACATTTGCTTTCAATTTTTGTCCTATGTTTATAGAAGGAGATTTCAGTAATATTGGTTATCAGTTAGGTGTCCTGTTCATTTCTTTCCACAGCTTTAGAAGCCTTACACACACACACACACACACACACACACAAATTCCTGCAGTTTATGCCAATCCTGAGAACAGTGACCAAAATGAGAAAGGGAAGGGATGAAGTCGGTCTACAGTTCCATCACTTTGATCAGAACACTGGTAAAATCTTCTAAATTGTCATTATCAACATACTGAAGTCTGGGAAAGAAAAGAAGAGATCTTAGTGTGACAACAGTGTGGCTGCTTTCATTGGGACACAGTTGCTTCCAAGATAAGGTACTTGGCTCCAGCAACAAAAAGAAAGCACTTATTTTGATCAAGATAAAAAAAAACCTGTTGTTTATTTGTTCTTTCTTGAACAGTAATGAGTATTCAGTCAGTTTCTTCTAAATGTTTTGAACTTAAGCCATCTGACTAGGTTGTCTAGATAGAGATGTTTTCCATTAACTTGTGACGCCATGAGTTTATGCAAATTGTTTTTCCATGTCAAAAACCACTTAGAAGCAGTTCAAACACAAGCAGAATTTAATTGACTAATCACTTTAATATATGCAAGTTTACTCAAGGTTAATATACAGAGTAAACTTTTGAATGTGCGCTGAAGTACACTGAACAGAGATGTGTACAAATTACAACTCATTAGAGTGTGTTTTTGTTGCAGTCATTACTATACATACAAGTCACAAAAGTAGCAGTTGCACATTCAAAATGTACTGTATGTTACAGAATGTGATTGTTATGTATTTATAAAACTACTTACCCTTGATTCTGTAACATTGCTCCCAAGAAATTCCTAAGTACCATCTCTTGATAATAGTGACTATCCATCATAATGCTATCAGACTGGCGCCTAGTCAAGATTTCATGTAGCTCATCTCCCAGGCTTTCTTTCCTACAAAACAACCAAAATGATTGCTACAGAGAAACACACTATAGAGGAAGGCACTATAGGCGAGAGCTATTCCTGATTGACTTATCAGCCTCATAAATTGGCCTTGAAAAAGTTATTATTTAATATAGCTATTTTTGAAGGCAATTTCTTAAGCTAAAATAAAATTCTTCTAATGCAAATTCCACTAATTGTTTCCTTCTAGCTTCATAGATGACATTGTAGTCTAACACATCTGAGCACAGTTTGCTATCTTGAGATATTTGGAGTTTTTAATCTGTTAATAGGAAAATCTAATCATCTAGAAATAGTTATAGATAATATTTATAAAGATGAATATTTTTGTATTGTAGATCAGATACAGCCCCAGATTTTCCCAAGGATATACGGAGTGAAATGAGAGCTCCAGTTAAGATACTATATAAATTCAAATTTCCTCTAGTGAATAATTAAGCCCCTTTGCAATATAGTACACCTTATAATAACTCTTTCTTTATTGCTAACTGAGCTATATTTTTGGCCATGTCTGATCAGAAAAATATCTGTTGTGGCTGTAAGACTTTGTCACTACCACTAGGATGATCCAGTCTCTGCATTTGACAGTCAAGTAGAGGCTTAATTGCTACAAAGGTATGGTAAATAATGAATATTCATTACACTTACTTAAATCTTTTCCCAATTATGCCCTGTAATAATTTCCGTGCTGATACCTTTCCTCGGACCTTCCGGTAACTGTCAGTGAATATGGCATCTGCATGACGCTGGAGTCTAAAGAAATAAAAATGCACTGTCATTCTGATGCAGTGCCCACTTGCAAAGGACCATCATACAAACACTTCCTGTTGATGGAAAAGGCAGTTCTATATGCCTTCAAAGCTACACTATCCTAAAGGAAAAGTTCTCTGCATTTATAATTTCTATCCCTTTTGGACAACAAGTAAAGTGCTAAATAAAAATGAGTTCATTGCATTCTTTCTTATGTATAATTTGTTCTTGGAACTTATAAAATATGGAACATTAATGTGTGCCCTTTTTATATGCTTAAAGAGGTTAAATGGCAAAACAGGATCTTTTCCACAGAAGTATGGTATCTTGAAATTTCTCCCAAGACAGGTCAAATAAGTTTTAGCAAGGTAGTAGAAAGCACATTTTCCAATGTTTTGAATCATGTATTTTGATCTTTTGTGAATTCTTGTATTTCTAATTGCTAAATTTTAAAGGCAGAAAAAAAAGTATAAACATGTGTCTCAACATTTTTAACTGAAGTTCTTAAAAAATTTTTTGACATAATATAATACCTTAGTGGCTCTCAGTTCCACAACTATAAATACTATTTACCGCATTCTTTTATAGAATAAATCCTCATTATCTGTTGGAAATTCTGACCACCGGCGTAAACAAGGATACCTAAGTAGATGGATCTTAGCCCTGATTGAGCAGAGCTAAGGTCGTGTTACTTATTTTGACATTAATATACCCACCTTTTGTCAACGGGGCTGAGAAAGTTCTCTACATGTTCTTCTACTGAAAAATTGTGGCTATGTACAGGACTAATTTCTTGTAGTTGAAAGCTCCCTGCTTTGCCAGAAATGGATATTGGATTATATCTAAAGCAACAAACAACAACATTAAAACAATCAGAATAAGGCAAAATATTTCTAATTCTATGGCACATTGAAGTGAGAATTAGATGCTCCTGAGAGGAGGAAGGAAAATATTGCTACATATCCTCATTTTGGGGCTAAATGAATGATCTGAGGTCAATCTTCTTTTTCAGTCCGCCCAATCCATTGCATAGGATTGTTGATATTGGGATAAAATAAAAGGAAACATCCATTTACATATTGAGATCTGAGAGAAAAGGTTATATCAGCTAATATTTCATACATTATAAAGCATGGTAATCTACAGGTCAATAACCTAATACCAATAAGTATAAACTATTTTAATCTGTAAAATCAAATGGACAAACAAGCATTTTAACTTAGTTCCAAAAATGCTTATAGTGTTTAGCAGATTGCCATGTTACTACACAGATGGCCCTTCTGTTAGAGATGGACTAGTTTCTTTCAGCAGCAGGGAGTCTACTATCCAAGACAGACTTTTCCAATGGAGAAATGAAACCAATAGGCTCAACCCTACATTTTCAGTATCATAAAATAGAGATTATCAATTACCTGAGTGGTGGATAGAGAGGAGAAGAACGGGAACACATGACAAAGTGGAGGAAAAGGAAAGCAATAGCTCTGTCCAACATCTTAAATGTTTTCTAGGGCAGGCTGCAATATAAAATAAGAATTTGGGATTAATTGTGGCACTTGAAAATAATCACTACAGGGACAACAATTCTGCGTGTTTTTCAAATCTGTTGTAAGTCAACTGAGTTTTCTTTCCTTGGTAATAATCTAAATTCAATATCTTAAATTTCAGTAAAATCTAATATCTTGTGGGACATTAATATTCTTTCTGTATTTCAGTGAAGCATGTGAGTGGACAGAAAAGAAACGATATTGATTCCTACTGGGGTCTTTTGTTAACAAAAGGTGATCTACTCCAGAGATTCAAAAAACGCAGATGGGATCATTAACAATGTTCTAGTTCACAGAATTATTATTGTGATGGAAGCACTATAAACGCACTTCATTAGCTGAGATGGAATCCAAAGAATATACATTAAGTTCTTTAGTCACTGAGCATCCTTAGCTATATCGTGTTGCTTTTTAAATTATATTCATTGTTTTTCCAGCACTTATAACTTTCACCATGTGACATTCTACCTGTTTTGACAACACAGGAAACTGCTGTCACACCAGAAATAAAGTGGGGGGAGTATTGAACAATGCTGTGAAGCCTCAAAAATATCCATATGTCTTTTTTTTTTTTTTTGCTTTTTTAAAGTATATTTTTAGCCAAATACACTTCAAGCCAGATATCTGCTAGTTCAGATATTGGGGAAAAAGATCATTTATCAGGCAACTCAATGCTTGTAGTCCAAAATTCCAGGTAACTTTCACTAAATTCATGAGTATTTTTCATGTTTTCAATACAGGGATTTGAGGAATGCAGATTAATAAAATTTTAACAATTTTAACTAAAGCTTGGGTTTTCAGACTCCTGTGTTTTAACTGCTTAAACTATTGCACTCTTTCCACCATCAATTCTTGTCTTCATTCTTATTTTATATTAAGATTGTAGAATTATAAATCATTCTGTGATCAGTTTAAGAAAATACAGCAGACCTACTGTAAGTTGGGCCTGGTTAGTACTTGGATGTGACTCCATCTGAGAAGTTCAGGATATTAGTTTGACTGGGGAGCAAAACCTTGTCTCAGAAAAAGGCAACAGCTAGTCTAAAAAAGTGCTACCAGGCTCCTGGTTGCCACTGTAGACAAACACAGTTCTGCTACAAAGCAAAGCATTTTTATAATTAACAAGAAAATTGCATGGATGCAATTACCAAGAAGGACATTTTTCTGTTTTTTAATTCTTTCACCAGGGATGTAGGCAAGACTGGAATGTTGAAAAGGTATCCCAGAAGAAAGTCATAGGAAATCTCTTGTTTCTTTTCAGCCAAGAAAACTACATAAACACCTTCATAAAGTCACTAGGATTCACACTATAAACTTTTTAATGTCTGTTCATTTGTGCAGTTCAAGAGATAGGCACAGCTATGTCTGAAGCTTCTCTCCTCCCCCCCCCCCCGCATTCCACTCCTGCAAGCAGTGTTGAAAGTTCAAAAAGGCAGTTAAATGACTTCTATTAGGAGGGAGGTTTGATCCAATAATTCTGCAATTTCAGAAAATAGAAAGAAGGGACTTTAAACACTTCCCTTCCTACACAGTATTAACTGGTAGCCTAACAAAACTTTATCACTTTTTAGAACCAAAGATGCTACAGTAATATTTCCATTTTGAGAATTTAAAGTAGCAGAAATTGTTAAGACAGCTATGTTTGTCCATGGTGGCAAAAATCACAAGGAGTTTGGAACCTTTTCCAACTAATTGTATTAAAATACATAAGCTTCAGGTCCTTTCATCAGAGGCATAATCATCATACCACAAAATTAATAAAATGTGTTAGTTGGAAAAGATGCTACCAAATTCCGTAAGCAGCAAAGAATACTGTGGTATGAAGAGTGGATAAACAAGAAAATCCTCTTTTGAAATAAGATATCCCAAAAGATAAATCTATCCCAAAAGATAAATCTATCTAGTTGACTGCACTTCTGACATCGTTCTAAGGACTTGCATAATGTAAATGTAGGCAAAATAACATGACTGGAAGAAAACATGAGACAAATCATTAAATCATTGTGTCACTGACCTTATACAATGTTTCTGTACTTTTTACAAAGTACTTCTGTAACTCAAAGGTAACTCCGCTGAATCAATGGGAATTGTTCCCCATGAAGTGTGTAATTATTAGGATCGCATTATAAATAAATGCATGTCATAAGGAATGTAGTCCCAAGTGTACCTTCTATTTTGAGATAAATGGAGATTGCTTTTTTTAAATGTGGGTTAGGAGAGGTCTACGATGCTTTGCCTATGCTTGGCGAGTTTTTATGGACAGATGAGAGTATATTCTCTGAAATGTCCGTTTCATACTTTGCTTTCTAAATAACACATTTATAACTTCCTTTTCTTTTTGCCCATTGACATTTTCTTCTAGGTAATATAAAAACATAAATATTTGCTTATTATCTGGGGACAATTTTTTTTTAAGAATGGTATCTTTTTCTAACTATATTAAGTAAGTCTAAATTAGATAAGATTGAAGGAAATATTATTCTAGACTACATTAGACTTATCAGAATCCAATTATTAATATTCATGTTTGTAATTTACTTCCCAATGTTTACAATTTTTACAAAATTTGGTTGAAGTTAATTTTCAAGTCAGTATACCTAGAATTGAAATCTTAGTCAGTCTACAAAATCTACAATTTCGTTTTTACACCATGAAACTGGTACTGTATCTATGAAGAAACAACATTAATTGTATCAACTTACAGTTTCCTTTGGGAATGATGTACTTTCAAGTCCTTTCTTGTGAATTTTTCTGTTGTTTGTGATATTTGATGAAATGGAGAGAACTCAGTCCAGCTCATTTGAACTATGTGAGTCTCCTGGTCTTTTATACTTTCATGTCTTCATCCAACCTGCAAATTCCTGAACGTCAGAGGATCAATTACTTCCCAACCATTCCAATAAGCCGTATTTCTCTTACCTTACAAAGAGAGTTAGAAACAGGCATCAGTGGAGGGGCTGAGGTGTCTGACATGCAAATTATCATCCTCACCACTATATAGAACAAATAACTTGCTACTGGTAAATTTTGCATTTCTGAAAAACACCCATTTTTAACATGAAAGCCAACTTTGATGGAAAATTAACCATTGCTATCTCCTCCCCCCCTTTTTGTAAAGAGATTGTTTCTATAATATATTGCATTGCTCTAAATCACCAGAATTACCTTCCTTTGCCTTGGTGCTGCGATTATATGAACATGCATTAGTGCTTTGCAAATATCAACAGCATATGAACAAGGAAAAAGCCAATAGGACAGAAACAGATTTTAGAGATTATCCAGTCCAACGTTCTAGAAAAGTGGGCATTTAACCTCTATTTAAAAAAAAAAACTTTCAAGACAGTTTGTTCCTTTATTGAAATACTTCCTACAGTCAACAATTTCTTAATGGCATTTAGCTGCAATCCTGTTTTTATACAATTTTTAACCTATTAATTTTCATCCTGTTTTAAGCAACAGCAGCATCAACAAAAATCTGTATGAAAATCTGGCAATCTTCACATATTTGAACACAACAAACATCACATTTTAGTCATTTCCTCAACTTTCTATTTAATCATTAACACTTAACCATTTTTGTAACCTATATGTTGTCATTTGGGAGCATTTTCCTTAAACATTACTCCACATATTCCATAAGGAAGGAATAAGCAAAATTAATTAGTATAATTATTTTGTTTAATTTGGACAGAATTATCTTGATGCATCCTAAAATTTCATTAGCCTTATAATTGTCAGAGCTGTTGACCCAAAGTGTGAAAGGCAGTCTCTAGCTTGAGGAACCTCACCTGGACAAAATACCATTTGAAGAGTTTCTTCAAACACACCTGGAATGTTTCCTCCATATCTTCTTCTATTTTGATTGTGGTAATTTCTGAACTTCCTTCTTCTAATTCTGTAGGTTTTTGGAGCAATATTGGAGGCATATACAGTGGCGCAGTGGTTAAATGCAGCACTGCAGGCTACTGCTAGATCAGCAGGTCAGCGGTTCAAATCTCACCGGCTCAGGGTTGACTCAGCCTTCCATCCTTCCGAGGTGGGTAAAATGAGGACCCAGATTGTTGGGGGCAATATGCTGACTCTCTGTAAACCGCTTAGAGAGGCCTGAAAGGCCTATGAAGTGGTATATAAGTCTACTGCTATTGCTATATATTGCTATAGTCCTTGACTTACAACCTCAGTTGAGCCCAATATTTCTGTTGCTAAGTGAGACGTTTGTTAAGTGAATTTTGACTAATTTTATGACCTTTCTTGCCACAGTTGTTATGTGAATCACTGCAGTTGTAAGTTAATAAGGCAGTTTGTTGAGTGAATCTAACTTCACCATTGACTTTGTCAGAAAATTGCAAAACATGACATTAGGACACTGCCATTATCACAAATATGAGTCAGTTGGCAAGCTGCAATGGTCATACGTGTGAAAAACAGTCATAAGTCACTTTTTTCCGTGCTGTTGTAACTTCAAGAGGTCACTAAATGAACTGTTGTAAGTCAAGTACTACATATGCATTGGTTTTTGTTGTCACTGTAGAACATGGTTACCTGAGGAACCACCTGTTGCCCATTGGATCTGATCAGTTTGCTCTGACAAGTTCTGTTGATTAAGTGATGATGTCTGTTTGGACTCCAGAGGTGTAACTTCTCTCTGGTGCCACCCAACTGGTGTTTTTGAGACTTTGTAGAGCTGGCTTTTTGCACTGGCCTTTGACTATGGTAGTTAAAGCCCAATCTGAATAGTGCCTGTGTGATTCTCATTGTCTGATTTTTGTTCGTTTGTCTTTGTTGTTGTATTGTTTTATTGTTATTTCCTATGTTTTTACTTTGTATACCACTCAGAATTGCTGGGATTGTGGTGGTGTGCAAATTTAAGAAATAATTAATTGTCCCTCTAGTCTTCTGATTTCTGTTTAATATGCACTCAGACAAACTATCCAAATGGGAACATTTAATAACAGGGATATAGACAAGGCTGTGCAACTCTGTTTTAGCTAAACCATTAGTGTGACAATTACTGAACCACATTCCTAGACTCTCATGCCCTTCTGAGGTCTTGAATGCACAGAGTTTATCTTTAAGCAATTCTCTGAAGGATTTTTCTCTTGTTAATAAAACACAAATTTGTTACATGTTAAGAGACAAAAAAAAGTTAATTTAGGATGGGACAGCTTTCATAAAAATCAGTAGCATATTTCATCATACAAGAGTTGTTTGATATGCTGGAAGTCATGCATAAGAAGAGACCTGTTATTTTGAATACCTGAAGCCATAGATTCAACAAAGATTCTCTCATTCAGCCTTTATCATCTATTCCTTAAAAGTTATGTCTCATGTTTGTCAGATATTGATGAAGAAGTAATCTGTGATCACACAATCTTCTCATTTCTGTAATAAAATAGTCTTGGGTCAAACTTTTTTTTTACTGATGTGCGTATTGTATGCTTTTATTAGTAATGTAAATATCATACAATATGAAATATCTATGTAATGTATTATTTAACAAGTTTTCTGTCACTTTCCAGAGACTTGCCTTTTTAGAACCAATATATATGATGTTTAATGCACCTCATACTATAATCCTTCTTAAATTCTACAGATATGGTTTGCTGAAGAAATGAGATGAGGTTAGGCTATGGAATGTAAGTTGTGTTTCCCAAATTACCTTGTCTTTTCCAAGAATCATATTTGTTTTATGGCCATATTCTCTATCATAAATGGCCAGCATCTTTTTTTAATACCAGAGTGTTTCATTTAGCAGAGCTTTATATTGTTATTTTGATTATTCTTGTCTGATACAAATTTTCATAAAGTCATCAAAACTATAATTAAGTAAAGCAAGAAAAAATACCAAAAAATATTAAGAATTAAACTTATGGAGAGAAGAGTGGTTATTGCTGTTCAACAGCAGATGTCACTGTTTAATAATTATTTAACCATTCCAGCAGTAACACTTTGTTTAAGGTAAGTTGTATTAGCTGGGCTGAGTACATCTTTGTATTTTTGGTTGTCACAACATCTCAACCACAGCTGTCAGCAAAATCATGATGATATCAATCTCTAGTTTTTGGTATCCTGTTTTTAACAGATGCTTTGAAGACATTTAAAGATATAATTAATCAAATTCATGTCTGGCCTGATAAAATAAGGTTTTTAAAAAATAGGAATTCTTTCACATGCCATAAAAGTATCTATTGCAACTTATAGTCACTTGATAGTCAAAGCTACAAAATGCCTTGGGTCATGTCTATGTATTTATGTTTCTATTTATAGCTTTTTAACCTCATGGATAAATCTTGGAACTTTGTGATGTCTAGATATAACTCACTATTTGAATAAACATAAAAAGAAAAATGTCATTCTTGACGGATTCCACAATTTGCCTAAATATGTCTAAGTCTGCCCCATGTAGAATTCCAGAAAAGCGATCATTCTATTTCCAAATCTCATCAAAAGGATTTTAATGTGCTATCATTCAATATTGATATTGTTTCCTGATTACTTATTTGTATCCTATGTCTATCATTAAATGTTGTACCTTATGATTCCTGATGAATGTATCTTGTCTTTTTATGTACACTGAGAGCATAGGCACCAAAGACAAATTCTTTGTGTGTGTCCAATCACACTTGGCCAATAAAGAATTCTATTCTATTCTATTCTATTCTATTCTATTCTATTCTATTCTTCTCTGATAATTCTGAAAGGGGACAGAGTGCAGAATGAGGAAAGCAGGATAACACTCCATCTTCTTTGCAAGCTCTTGCTTCTCTAGTGTTTCCTGCAGATTTTTTTCGTAACCAAATCTGTCAATTCCTCTGTTGTTAAGGAGTAACAGAGAAACACTGCCCAGAGTTCTAGCTTGGTAGCCCTCCATCTATTCTAGATTTGCACTCTCTTCTTCGCCGTTTCGTAGGATCTGAGTTCCCTGCTTCAACCCAAAACAACGCCTTAAGGTCAAACAAGCAAACAGAAAGGCTATCCCTAGGGCGGCTAGTTCCACAGCTCCCGCTGTTCCCCCCCCCCCAACCCGTCCGTGAGTGTAGGAGCCCCAAAGAGCCCCGTTTCGTAGTATTTGGGTCGGTTCTTCCCCTTAACCCAGATTTCTCTGGCTGGTGATGCTCCGAAGCCATCGGCTCTGAGAAATAAGTCTTGGGGGAGGGACGTAGACTTCGCAACGCCAGCGAGCGAAGGGACGATGGAATAAGGGGCGGGGCTATCTGGCCAATGCGTTGCTACCGGCCGTTGCTAAGGGAGGAAGTACTTCCTGGGGGATCAAAAGCGCTTCCGGGGAACGAGGTTCGTCTTGAGTGGGAGGTAAGAGGGCCGCTGAGAGAGGTTAATAAGATTCATGGAAGTCTTTTTTTTTGGCAGGGGGTAGACTGTAGACCCTCGTTTGAGAGGGAGAAAAATTATGGCTTTTCTATAATTTCTATCTATTCTAGCTCTAGTCCTGCCGGACGATTGATCTATACGCGAACGAGCTTTTCGCATTTCTTCTAATGTTTTTCTTCTTTTTTTCCGCTTAAAGAAATCCTGAATTTCGCCCAGCAAATTGGTCTAATGCCTTCCCAAAAGGGGGAAAAAAACTCAACGGCTGTGATTTTATTAGACACATTTTTTAAAGTAACCTCTAGCAATGGGGGGGGGGGATTGGAAGTAAGAGAGGAGGAAATCTATGCCTTCATAAATAAACGTCTCCAAGAGATTTATTTCTTTATTTATTTAAAAATGCACGTGGTATTTGGGCAGATGACTTTTTAAACTTACTTTTTGATCGCATACAGCTTGGCTCTGCTCTTCCTGTTTTAAGAGCAATGGCTTCCATTGATGGAGATTTCATGGTTTATTTTTTAAAAATAATTCTGAGGTTTTTTTTAATGTATAATACTTGAAGTGGCAAAACACTACAGAACCAAAAGTTTTGATGAATGCTGAACCTAGAAAGATGCTGTCCATCCTCCAGAACAGGAAAATGTGATAAGAGGCAGCATGGAGGGATTAAAAGCTAAATGAAGCTTTGGTTGCTATTTCTACTGCTATCAAATTCCTATTTGATACTGTTCAGGTATTTCTTTTACTTCTGGAGTGCATTAATGTTGTGTTTGAGAATTCTGCCTCATCACATCATCACGGCTTTATTTACCCTCTAAATCTTTGGATTTAAATTCCCATATCTAGTTTTAAGCAGGTATTCCAGAAAAGCTTGCTTTCTGTATAAAAATAGACACAGATATCATCCCTCTATATTTTTAATATATGCATTGAAATGGTTGCCTCAAAGTTTGAATTTTGGTAATAGGAGTTGTATTGACAAAAGTCAGGCCATTATACAATTTATCAAATGGAACCTATCTAAACACGAATTTAAATACAATATAGAATTAAAAATCAGTTAAAACAGGCATCATGTTCCAACAGTCAGTGAATTCAGGCAGTGATCAGATCAAAAATTCACTGCAATGAATGGCAAAACTTTTAGCTTGGTAAAGAGTGAACAAATGTACTATAAAAGGAAAAGCCAATTTACTGTTCCCAGTAATCAAACCTCTCAAAGGGTGGGAAATGCAGCAACATGTATTCTAATACTAATATAAAGGCAAATCTGTATTATGATGGCTGGAATAATACCCTATAAGTATTCTAATCCTGAACCACTGAGGAATTTGAAGGCTAAACTGATATTTTTGATCACTCCCAGAAATGGACCAGTAGTAGCCAAGGAGGAATAGAATAGCCTTTGTCAACCTGACTTGTTCCACATGTTTGTTGGACTCCTGTGGAACTAAACTTCAACCTCCATGCTACGTAAGATTTCTAAGACTTGGAGTCCAACACATCTGCAAGGTACCCAGTAGCTCAGTATCACACTCAAATAACCAACACCATTTTGGCCATTTGCTTCAGCATTTTGTGCCTTTCAGAGTTCCCGAATGAGGATTATAACACTGAAAAAAATGCATATTTCAATGGCACTTCTTTTCTTTGCAGAGATAAGGCAGTTCAATTTTGTTGGAAGTGTACTTAAGGACTTCACTAATGGCTGCTGAGTTGGATTTTTCACCCCCTGAAATCCCAGAGCCCACCTTTATGGAGAACATCTTACACTATGGCCTTTTCTTTGGGGCCATTTTCCAGCTTATTTGTGTTCTAGCAATAATCCTCCCTGTTCCAAAGACATATAAAATGGTAAGCATTTCTTGTCTATGACCATGCTAATGCAACTGGGCATTGTAACTAACTGCCAGTTTGGCAACAATCCGATTGTTACCTGTTTTTTTTTCTCTCTCAAATACACTGGTTTTTTTTTTCTTTCATTCTTACAAACACAAAGGACAAAGAGACATCAGTTGAGCGGTATTTCATCTATTAGAAGCTTCCTGTGAATGATAGGAAGCCCATGGCATCCTGACAATTGCAGCTGTCTCCTTAAAATAGAAATGTAGAACCTTTTTTTGCTGAAGGTGACCACATTTTTTTAATATTATCTTCCAGAGAAAGCACATGGCAGAACTGGGTACAACCAAAGTCAATACAGGCTGTAGCTCATACTGAAACTGAGAGTAGCCCAAGCCAGCATTTCCATTTCTTCTTGCTTCCTCCCCCCCTCCCCCGCCAAATTCTCTCTCTTCTCCTTTCTTATTTCATCAATCATCTATTTCCATGTTTACTCCACCAAGCTTATTGCCATTTTTACACTTCTGAAGGTAGAAAGTTTTACTTCCTCTGGTACTTTTGTAAGGTCTCTCATCCACACTCTGACTTCTTTCATTCTTCTCCACATCTCTCTATTCTTTTTTTCTGGGAAGAAACAAGAGGAACAAAATAAAGAAATGTAATCCAATTCAGTGACAATCATTGTAGAAAATTAACATAAGGAAAGAGATGGCAGGTTAGATACAGGTATCTGGCAAACTGAGAGGACTGTCTTTAATTAGAAATGTCATCTCTCTGCCAGAAAGTGATATAGCAAAGGATTCTGGATTAGGGAAAAACACAGGCAAAAAATCAGTATTCTTGGCACTTGTGGACACATGAGTATTTGGCAAGACTGTGGTCATTGTTATATTTTCTTACATACTCTTTGTACAAAAAGTAGTTGCATATTATGGATTGTTTGTTATGGAGATTATAGTTCATTTCCCAAAATACCACTGACAACATCACTGTTCTGAAATTGTCACTTTTATTTGGTTTCAAAGTTTGACTGACCAATCTCTGGGCCTCCCTCTTCAAAATTAAAGCAGGATTTTCAGAATTCAAATTTTGAATAAGACTAACCTTGTGCACTTGGTGGTACAATTGTGTGTTTGTAACTTGGTAATTAAACAAAGTAGCTTCCCTTCCTTCTCCTGTTTCAAATTTATTCTAGGAATCCATGTTTTTGGCAGGACTGATTTTTATTCCTTTGCACCTGTCTACAGTAAGCATACATTGTTTTAATTTAGCCCCAAATGCTGAGTATCATGCCAACTAGCTGATGAGTTTGCAATTATGAATTATTTAGTAGCAAAGAAAACTTTAATTGTTTGAATGCAAACTAAGTCAACTTTCCAGCAAATAATAAACACATCAGTTTTCCTCAGTGAAAAGCAAATGCTAGAATATAATGCAGCTATAACATTTTTAAAATGGCAGGAATTTATTCCATAAGCTATACATTTTCACATAGGAATTAACCCTGTAATTTAGTAGTGTAGCATTGCTTGGGATTGTAAGAATCAATGAGTGCAGAAAAAAGTTAGGCAAACACAATTCTCATAAGCACCTGATTGGGGCTTAAGTTGTCCTGGGAATCTCCTGGTGACAAACAATCATCCTTTGCCATGCACCAATTTTAAAATTTGTTCTGATTATTAAAAGAAAGCATGGATATTCTTTACTTAGCATAGTAATTTTATCTGTTTACATTTTTCTTTATTCAGGAACAATTAAATTATGCACTTTAAATCTCTGAATGATTAATGCTTTTGCTTCTGTTTGTCCAAAACGTTGGAATTTCCTGTGGGTGAATCACATACCTTGGCATGCGAGTCCTCTACCCTTTCTTGGAAAGGCACATAAGCAAATTGCCATAGCCCTGTAACTTAGGAGAGAGTTCAGCCAGGTTCATTGATGTTAAAGATACAAGCAAGCTTTCTTCCCGTTCGGGCAGAGCAAAATTTGCATTGCTTTCTAAGAGGCTTAAAATCAGCATAGAACCCTGTGCCAATTTTTGTGCCTTTTTTTCCAGTTGGCCTACCTTAATTGTGGACATCTTTAGAATTCAAAAAATATTTATATCAAAACTTGTTTAATGAGGGAAAGCAATCTGTGAATTTGGCTTCCTCTAAAAATGTCATGAAACTGTTTTCTCCATGTGTTTCCAAAAAAATTCCCACCAGTTTTTTATAAACTTATCAAGCATTATGTAACAAAGTAGGCTAGACAAAGGGTGGAAGAAATATTTAAAATTAAAGCTGATACGAAAGTCATAAAGTTTGCATGGATAGAGCCTAAAAAAAACCAGTCTCAAATGAATAGTCTGAATTCAGAGTTCTGCTAATTTCGGACACATACTAATCTTTGTTAACACAAAACAAATAATGCATCATAAATTACTAGATTATAGTATATATACATTTTTAAAGGAGTCACAGAAAACCAACATGGTCAGGATTATCCAAATCTCAGGTGATAACACGGTTCCAAAGGGCAGGTGCTTTGACAGAGAAGGCATGCTTCTTTGGTCTCACTAGGTGGCAGTGTTTCATAGAAGTGATCCAAAGCATGTCCACCCTTCAGATCCCATGGGTCAGCCAGAAACACTCAGAGATAGGTGGCCCCACAAGTAACAGAGCCTCAGTCATGAAGGGCTTTATGAGTGATAACCAGCACCATGAAGTGCACCTGGGAACTTGTAGATGCCTAATGTAGCTGTGTAATACTGATATTGTATGGAATACCCTGATGGATCCATAACTATACACACCATTGCATTTTGGGCCAGTTGTAGCTTCTTGATGGTGTTTTAAGAGCAGCCTCATATGGCAGTGATTGCGAACCTTTTTTGGCTCACAGGGGGAGCGTGCGTGGGCGTGCCACACATGCACATCCTTCCCCTTCCTGCACGCATACATGTGCGACCAGACTTCCCCCCTCCCCACACACTTTTGGCACACTTTTTTCATCCTCCCCCGGCTCCAGAGGCTTTCACACACACACCAAGCCCTCTGGAGCGTGAAAAACTGGCCCTAATGGGCACACCAGAAGTTCTGGAACAGACTTCCAGCAAAAAATGGCCCTACAGCCAAACCGGAAGTGACTTCCAGTTTGTCCGTAGGGCAAAAAACGGCCATACCAGCAAATCGGAAGCCCATTCCAGAACTTCCGGTTTGCGCGTAGGGCTGGTTTTTCGTGCTCCGGAGCTTCCCTGAAAAATGGCCTCAAAAGAAGGCCAAAGTCGGAGCTGACAGGGCAACGCCTCGCGTTCCCTGACAAAAGGCTCTGTGTGCCACAGGTTCACCATCATGTTCATATGGTATGACTTGCAGCAGTCCAGTCAGGAAGCGACTAAGGCATGACTGACCATAAGTAGGGCTTCCTGATCAAGAAACTGGTGCACAAGGTCGATTTGTTCAAAGGCCTTCTTGGTCATGACTACCAACTGTTCTTCAAGTAGAATGGAAAATTCAAGAGGACACCCAAATTGCACACAAGTTTTGTCTAGCAAGTCTAATCCTATCCAAAAAGTTAGACAGTCTCTAGATTTAAGGAGCCCTAGAATCCATAATCTTTCAGTCTTGTTTCGGTAAAGACATTTACTACTATCTTCTATTAGTCCTCCTCCCCTCATTCACTTTGTTCTTAACATCTTTGCTTCTTTTCCTTCTCTGTGATAGAGTTCTGACTTACGTTCTTTGAGGCATTTCTTTCTCCCTTTCCCTATTTAGGATCAAAGGCTTTAGCATAGTATTGCTATTTTCTGAATAATCAGCTAATTATTCATTGTTAGATTTTAATGTTTTTTCATATATATATAGATAGATAGATAGATAGATAGATAGATAGATAGATAGATAGATAGATAGATAG